ACTTTACTGTACTCTTCAAAGAGAAAGTGGATAATTAGGCCGCCATCATTGCCATAAAGGCACCGTGGGACCTTTTGTTCTTCACTGAGACGGCTTGACAACAAAATAGAACCTGGTTTAAACGGCTTGCAGAGGTTTAACTTTACTTGCTTTTTTTGTGTGTAAATAATACATATAACTAACTAACTTTTTAATTTTTTCATACGTTTTAAGCAAATCCAAACTCTGAAAACTGCAAACTCTTTGGCATCTTCTTCTCCTTTTCAAGAATTGCTATCGCCGCTAGAAGTTATTAATAAGACATAATTAGGGAAGCCTCTTTTTGTCCCTTTTGCTTTTGTGCACATCTGGGATTTTTTGTTTTTTTAATTTTTTTTTAAAGAAAGTGGATTGTTTCTTTTTTTTCTGAAAGAAAGTGGATTTTTTCTTTTTTTTTTTAAAGAAAGTGGAGTTTTGAGCCTTCGGTGTGGAACCAGTTAAGCTTTGTTTAGACTAATCATCACAGCCTGCAACCATTTGCAGGGTGTAACCAGAGTGGCTAACACATTAATGGATGAACTAATGATCACAGCATTGTGCACGGAGTGTTAGCTCCTGCCATTACTGTATGAGCACTAATTATTGCTCTCTATCTATAGGGTAGAAAAAAACCACTGCTGTTTGCTGCTCTGGGACAGAAATAAAAAGGACTACTGTGGCAAAGCACAGCCTTATGAGATTAGTGCTTTAAAATGATATATTTCCAGATAGCAAATATAAGGCTCTTTTTTACTTAATATTAAACATTCCAACTTTGACTCTCCAACAGAAGAACATTTGTAAAAATGATTTTTTTTTTGGTGTGATCGGCTTCTACCTTAAAGGCTTAAGGGTTGCAATTACACAACGCTGGCATGAAAATTAACGGATCAATCAAAGGAAAATCAGTGACTGAAAGCTGGAGAGACGGGAGGAGGAAGTACAAAGATAAATCTATGGAGAGGAGAGTAAATCTGGCTGTGGAGAAGGAGGTGTTTGGGGTGTGCTGGGGTCACTCAGATCTGTGAGTTGTCCGTCAGTGCAACAGGAGCTGGGCTTTGGTGGCCACTCGGGGAAATGCGTGAAAAAGAGAGAGAGAGCGGGGTCAGTGGGTGGGTGGGCGGATGGAGGAGGGAGGAGAGGGGTGGGAGAGGCAGGCCGGGGTCCCCCCCCGATTAGAAAACTCCCAAACAATACGATGTGGAAGCAAAGAGAAAAAAACACATCACACCAAGAGACGAATCAGACAGGCGGACATTTGACCAGAGACAGACACCAACAGACGGGATCGAGGAGGCGGGATGGGAGGGGAGGAGGGGGGGAGGGGGGGGACGGAGAGGAAGCAAGCAAAGGCTGAAGGGA